ATCTCTTGGTATTCAGACTCCAGAGAGATGTCAGATTCTGTATTTTGTACTGTTTCATCAGTTGCCGTAGTGTACACTATGCTTTCTTCTATCTCGTCTTCACCTTCCAGCCTGTCTTCTTTCTCATCTACACCCTGTTTGGCAAGACTCTCTACCAGATTAGTATCAGTATTTTCAGCTTGGTAAGTGTCCCAGTCTTTCTTCACAAGATCTTCCATCACCTCAGCAACCATATCCACTCCTAGACTTGGTGTCTTTTCAAGTTCAGAATACTTCAGACTTTCCAAAGCATCCTCCCATTCTTCATCTTCCTCCATCGAGTGGTCTTCAGTTGTTTCTTGTCCTCCATTTGCTTCCCCTTCGACAATTTCACTGACCATCTTTATACCTTCTTCATATGCCGTATGTTTCAGTTCATTTACATTCTCAGTAAATACAGTGGTTTGAGCCTTCTCCATATTATTGTTTATCAGTGTCTCATCAACCTTCTCGTCGCTTGTACCTGCTTCTATTTTGTCTTCAGAAAGTTTTGCCGTGCTTCCTTCATTACCCACATCTCTACCATCCATGCTTTCAAGTGCATCTTCTATTTCCAGAATTTCATAAGACATGTCTAGCATTTCTTCTTCAGTTTCAGCTATTTCATTTTGTGTATCCTGATTTTCTTCTGCTAGCTGTTTTACGTCTTTCACTGCAAAGTCAGTTGGTTTTAATTCATCAATATCTTCTTGACATCCTGTTTCCTCTATTTCTTCCAATATTCTTCCTTCTTTAGGCATATCCTCAGATATTTTGTCTGGTACAGGAACTCCACTTTCCACCACTTTGATGAGATTGTCTACCTGTTGCAGGAGCCTCGTTGCTTCATCCATCCCTTCACTGTCTCCCTGAATCACTGAATCTGTTGTCCTATTTTCTGTGTCATTTTTCAAATCTTCCATTTGACTCACGGACTCTTTCACTTCACTACTCTTTTCTTTTGCTTCGATTGCACTTTCTATCAGCTCCATTTTCTTTTCCATCTCTCTCATTTCTTCTTCCATCATTCTAACATCTTCCACCATCAATCTCACATAATCATCCACCACAGTTGTTCCTTCCCCTTTCTGCAATTTCTTTCTTTCATTTTCTTTCTCCTCAGCTTCTGCAATTTCTTCCTTTATTGATTTGATATCTTCTTTTTTCCCAGTTCTGTTGATATTGATTCCCAGCTTAAGTACAACTTTTTCTTTTATAATCCCTGGTTTCACAGCTTCCAGTTCAGTGTATTTTCCTGATTCTATTTCTTCATTTTTAGGTACAGCTCTGGCTTCTTCCATTAATCGCATTTCCTCATCATTACCACTCATTAGCCCTGCTTTATCAACTATGTTATTCCCATCTTCATTTAACAAAGTTTCCTCAACGAGAATTGTCTCTCTTTCTATTACTTTGGTCTCATTTTCAATAACTTCTATTTCTTTTTCTATCTCTTTGGTTTCCTCTTCTATGTCTCGGATTTCATCTTCTACGGACTTCAGCTGATTTCCCACACTATTCTTGATTCTGGTTTCCTCATAGAGTGTTTCAGTCTCAATTGTTTTAGCATTGTCTTCTTCACTTATAGTTTCATTTTCTAATTTGCTGAGCCTCCTGTCTTCTTCTTCTTCTTCTTTCTCTGCTCTTGCTAATTCATCTGCAAGACTGATTTCCTCCCTAGCCTGTGATGAGTCATCATCCATTACTTTCCTTTCTTCTTCAATAATTCTTCTTAACTCTTCTATCACTTCATTTGCATCATCTTCCAACTGCATATCATTCTCTTTCTCTAAGTGATTGACCTGATTGTCTCCTTGGGTTTCTTCTTCAGTCATTTCAGTTTTCATCTCTGCTACAGTGTTTTCCATTGTTTTCTGTAAAAGACCATTACTAATTTCATTGTTGTAACCTTCATCTGATTCTGTGTCCTTTTCATTGTTATTGTTTTCTATTCCATCCTTAAGGGCTAGATTGTCTGTTGTCACTTCTACAGCTATGATCTTTTCCAGTTGATTTTCAACAGAGAAATTATTCAGCATACTTTCTGACATAACATTTTCAACATCTATATGACTTTCTTCTCTCTTTTCAAGAGTTGTTTTTACAAAAGCGGGTGCTCCAGATTCTTCAAATTGGTAATTTTCTGCTCCTGCAAAACTTGTTCTTTCTTGTTCCTGAGCTTGGTTAATTTCTGGCTCTTCAGCTGAGCTAATATCGGAGTCCTCCACCACTGGGTCATTCTTTGTTTTAAATCCCTCTCCTTCATCTTGGATGCTTTCTGTTTCTTGAGCTGAGCTGATATCTAATTCTTTCGTTGAGTTAATTTCTGGTTCCTCAGCTGAGCTAATTTCCGGTTCTTCAGTTGAGCTAATATCTAAGTCCTCATCTGTGCTTCTTTCTGGTTCTTCAACAGGAATGCCTTCTGCTTCTTCAAATGTATTTTCTGGTTCTACTGGACTGCTTTCTGGTTTTTCAATTAGAGTATATTCCGTTTTTTCAACTGGACTGTTTCCAGGATCTATAACTATACTGCTTTCTGATTCATCAACTAGATTGCTTTCTGATCCTTCCACAGGGCTGCATTCTGGCTTTTCACTTTGTCTTCTCTTTGCTTCTTCAGTTTGGCTGTTTTCCAGTTCCTCAATTTGGTGTTCTTCAATTAAACTGCTTTCTGTTTCTTCAGCTAGACCGCTCTCTGGTTCTTCAGCTGGACTAATTTCTGGTTCTTTATCTGCACAACTTTCCTGTTCTTCATCTTTGTCAACCTTTAATTCAAGCTGGCTACGAACAGGCTGGTCAGTGAGGTTGCGTTCTTGTTCTTTTTCTGGACTGATTTCTCTGCTGTTTTCCTCGGATGACATGCTTTCTGTGTCTTTGGTTTGATTGCTTTCTAATGCATCTATGCCACTTTCTGTGTCTTCATTAATACTACTTTCTGGTTCTTCAGTAGTACTACTCTGCGATTTTCCATATTTCTCACTTGCAGATTCTTCAACTAGGAAGTTCTCAGGCTTCTCCTCTGTGATGATTTCTTGTTCTTCAGTAATATAGCTCTCTGGTTCTTCAGCAAAGAAGCTCTCTGGTTCTTCTATTCTACTAATTTCTGGCTGTTCAATAGTACTGCTCCCTAATTCTTCATCCGAGATCCTTTCTGCTTCGTTGTTGCGCTCTGCCTCTTCAGTTGGTACACTTTCTGGTACACCCTCAGTATCAATTTCAAATTTATCAGTTTCGCTTTCTCCTGTAAACACATCTGATTCTTCCTGTTTTCTCGTTTCTGGTCTTGGGTCACACTTATATTCATCCTCAATGCTGCTTCCTGGTTCTTCTTCATCTGGTTCTTCAATTTTGCTGATTTTTGGTACTTCGTCAAAGAGGTTTTCTGGTTCTTCCTCTTTGCGTACTTCTGAGCCGATAACCAAAGTTGTATCTGATTCTACAATGATTTTGCTTTTCTTTTCTTCAATTTTGCTTATTCTTGGTTTTGCCGCTTTACTTTGTTCCACTACAGTGTTGACTTCTGTCTCTTCAAATCTGCGAATTATTTCTTGAACCTTCCCGGTTTCGAGATCTGCAGCCTTGCTTACCTCTGATTCTCCAACATCTTTAGCTGGACCTAGAATTGTGTTGATTTCTGTTTTTTCATCTGCACTGATTCCTGATTCTGCAACTGCGCTGACTTCTGGTTCTTCAACCGCTCTGATTTCTGGTACTGCAACTGCGCTGGTTTCAGTTTCTGCAACTGCTCTGACTTCTGCTTCTGCAACTGCGCTGACTTCTGCTTCTGCAACTGCGCTGGTTTCTGATTCTGCAACTGCGCTGACTTCTGCTTCTGCAACTGCGCTGGTTTCTGCTTCTGCAACTGCGCTGGTTTCTGGTTCTGCAACTGCGCTAACTTCTGGTTCTGCAACTGCGCTGGTTTCTGGTTCTGCAACTGCGCTGATTTCTGGTTCTGCAACTGCGCTGACTTCTAGTTCTGCAACAGCTCTCATTTCTGGTTCTGCAACTGGGCTGTTTTCTGGTTCTGCAACTGCGCTGACTTCTGGTTCTGCAACTGCGCTGGTTTCAGGTTCTGCAACTGCGCTGACTTCTGCTTCTGCAAACTGCGCTGGTTTCTGTTCTGCAACTGCGCTTGTTCTGGTTCTGCAACTTGCGCTGGTTTCTGGTTCTGCAACTGCGCTAACTTCTGGTTCTGCAACGCCACTGCTCTGTTTCTGGTTCTGCAACTGCGCTGATTTCTGGTTCTAGCAACTGCGCTGACTTCTAGTTCTGCAACAGCTCTCATTTCTGGTTCTGCAACTGTGCTGTTTTCTGGTTCTGCAACTGCGCTGACTTCTGGTTCTGCAACTGCGCTGGTTTCAGGTTCTGCAACTGGGCTGATTTCTGGTTCTGCAACTGCGCTGACTTCTGGTTCTGTAACTGCACTGACTTCTGGTTCTGGAACTGCGCTGGTTTCTGGTTCTGCAACTGCGCTGATTTCTGGTTCTGCAACTGCGCTGACTTCTGGTTCTGCAACTACGCTTGTTTCTGGCTGTTCTGCAAGTGCGCTGATTTCTGGTTCTGCAACTGCGCTGATTTCTGGTTCTGCAACTGCGCTGGTTTCTGGTTCTGCAACTGTGCTGATTTCTGGTTCTGCAACTGCGCTGGTTTCTGGTTCTGCAACTGCGCTTGTTTCTGGTTCTGCAACTGCGATTGTTTCTGGCTCTGGTTCTGCAACTGAGCTGGTTTCTGGTTCTTCAACTGCGCTTGTTTCTGGTTCTGCAACTGTGCTTGTTTCTGGCTCTGGTTCTGCAACTGAGCTGGTTTCTGGTTCTGCAACTGCGCTTGTTTCTGGTTCTGCAACTGCGATTGTTTCTGGCTCTGGTTCTGCAACTGAGCTGGTTTCTGGTTCTTCAACTGCGCTTGTTTCTGGTTCTGCAACTGTGCTTGTTTCTGGCTCTGGTTCTGCAACTGAGCTGGTTTCTGGTTCTGCAACTGCGCTTGTTTCTGGTTCTGCAACTGCGATTGTTTCTGGCTCTGGTTCTGGAACTGAGCTGGTTTCTGGTTCTGCAACTGCGCTGGTTTCTGGTTCTGCAACTGCGCTTGTTTCTGGTTCTGGTTCTGCATCTGTGCTTGTTTCTGGTTCTGCAACTGCGCTTGTTTCTGGTTCTGCAACTGTGCTTGTTTCTGGCTCTGGTTCTGCAACTGAGCTGGTTTCTGGTTCTTCAACTGCGCTTGTTTCTGGTTCTGCAACTGCGCTTGTTTCTGGTTCTTCAACTGCGCTGGTTTCTGGTTCTTCAACTGCGCTGGTTTCTGGTTCTGCAACTGCGCTGGTTTCTGGTTCTTCAACTGCGCTGGTTTCTGGTTCTTCAACTGCGCTGGGTTCTGGTTCTGCAACTGCGCTGGTTTCTGGTTCTTCAACTGCGCTGACTTCTGGTTCTGCAACTGCGCTGAGTTCTGGTTCTTCAACTGCGGCTATTTCTGGTTCTGCAACTGCGCCGACTTCTGGTTCTGCAACTGCGCTTGTTTCTGGTTCTTCAACTGTGCTTCTTTCTGGTTCTGCAACTGCGCTAACTTCTGGTTCTGCAACTGCGCTGACTTCTGGTTCTGCAACTGCGCTGACTTCTGATTCTTCAACTGCGCTGGTTTCTGGTTCTGCACCTGCGCTTGTTTCTGGTTCTGCTTCTACAACTGCGGTTGTTTCTGGTTCTGCAACTGCGCTGGTTTCTTGTTCTGCAACTGCGCTGGTTTCTGGTTCTGCAACTGCGCTGATTTCTGGTTCTGCAACTGCGCTGGTTTCTGTTTCTTCAATCGCGTTTGTTCCTGGTTCTGCAATGGCGCTTTCTGGTTTTGCAACTGTGCTGGTTTCTGGTTCTGCAACTGCGTTGGATTCTGGTTCTGCAACCGCGTTTGTTCCTGGTGCTGCAATGGCTCTTTCTGGTTCTGCAACTGCGCTGATTTCTGGTTCTGCAACTACGCTGACTTCTGGCTCTGCAACTGCACTGACTTCTGGTTCTGCAACTGCGCTGATTTCTGGTTCTGCAACTGCGCTAACTTCTGGTTCTGCAACTGCGCTGGTTTCTGGTTCTGCAACTGCGCTGGTTTCTGGTTCTGCAACTGCGCTGGTTTCTTGTTCTGCAACTGCACTGGTTTCTGGTTCTGCAACTGCGCTGATTTCTGGTTCTGCAACTGCGCTGGTTTCTGTTTCTTCAATCGCGTTTGTTCCTGGTTCTGCAATGGCGCTTTCTGGTTTTGCAACTGTGCTGGCTGGTTTCTGGTTCTGCAACTGCGTTGGATTCTGGTTCTGCAACCGCGTTTGTTCCTGGTGCTGCAATGGCTCTTTCTGGTTCTGCAACTGCGCTGACTTCTGGCTCTGCAACTGCGCTGACTTCTGGTTCTGCAACTACGCTGATTTCTGGTTCTACAACTGCGCTAACTTCTGGTTCTGCAACTGCGCTGACTTCTGCTTCTGTAACTGCGTTTGTTTCTGGTTTTGCAACTGCGCTGACTTCTGATTCGGCATCTGCACTTGTTTCTGGTTCTGCAACTGTGTTGGTTTCTGGTTCTGCAAGTGCGCTGGTTTCTGGTTCTACAAATGCGCTGGTTTCTGGTTCTGCAACTGCGCTTGTTTCTGGTTCTGCAAGTGCACCGGTTTCTAGTTCTTCAACTGCTCTAACTTCTGGTTCTACAAATGTGCTTATTTCTGCTTCTGCAACTGCGCTGATTTCTGGTTCCACGATTGCGCTTGTTTCTGCTTCTGCAACTGCGCTGACTTCTGGTTCTTCAACTGCATTGACTTCTGGTTCTGCAAATGCGCTGATTTCTGGTTCTCCAACTGCCCTTTCTGGTTCTGCAACTGCGCTGATTTCCGGTTCTGTAACTGTGCTGATTTCTGGTTCTGCAACTGTTTTGACTTCTGTTTTTTCAACTGCTCTAACTTCTGTTTCTACAAATGTGCTGATTTCTGGTTCTGTAAGTGCATTGACCTCTAGTTCTGCAACGGCGATGATTTTTGGCTCTTTAGATGAGGGGATTACTGGTTCTTCGGCTGCACGGGTTTCTTGCACTTCAACAACATTTATTTCTTGTTCTTCAACTGCCCTGATTTCTGGTTTGTCAGCTGAGTTGATAACTGGCTCTTTAACTCTGCTCATATCTAATACTTTAGCAGCAACTATATTTGTTGGTTCATCTACCTTGATTTCTGGTTCTTCACGTGCAGTGAATTTGAGTTCTTCAATTGCTCTGATTTCTGATTGTTCATCTGTGCTGATTTCATGGTTGTCAACTGCTTGGATTTCTGGTTCTTCAACTGATATACCTTCTGGAGATTCACTGACTTTGATTTCTGATTTTTCAACAGCTCTCACTTCTGCTTTTTCGACTGAGGTGATTTCCGATTCTGCAGCTGTACTTATTTCTGGAATTTCAACAGCACCTATCTCTGCCTCTTCATCTGCCTGGATCACTGGTTCTTCAACATGGCTGGATTGAGGTTCAACTGAAGTAAGTACTAGTCCATCATCTGTCCCAATATCTAGTTCTTCAACTGCATTGATTTCTGGTTCTTTTATTGATGTAATTTCTAGACCTTCAGCCGCCTTGCTTTCTTCAACAGCACTGACTGCTAGTTCTTCTACCACCCTAGTTTCTGGTTCCTCCACTGAGGTGATGACTGCCTTGATTTCTGGCTCTTCAATTGAGCTGATTTCTGGTTTTGCAACTGTGCTGCTTTCTGGTTCTTCAATTGCCATAATCTCTGGTACCTCATCCACACTGATTTCCAATTCTTTAACTGAGTTGATTTCTGGTTCTTCAGCTGCTCTGGTTTCTGTCTTTTCAACTGTGCTCAGTTCTGGTTCTTCAGCTTCGCTAATTACTGTTTCTTCAATTGAGATGCTTCCTGGTTCTTCTGTGCTCACCCTTTTTGGTTCTTCAATTAAACTGGTTTCTGGGTCTTGATTTGCACTGACTTCATGCTCTTTACCTGCTCTCATTTCTGGTTCTTCATCTGCTATAATTTCCTGTTTAACTGCACTAATTTCTATTTTTTCATACATACTAACCACCTGTTCTTCAGATGGGCTAATTTCTAGTTCTTCATAAGTGATTATTTCTGCTTTTTCAACAGCCATGATTTCAGGTTCTTCAACTGATCTTATTTCTGTTTGTTCAGGAATTTCAATTGAATTCACTCCTATTTGTTGAAGCTGTTTTACTGTGCTGATCTCTGTTTCTTGATTTTCGTTTACTACAGTGTTGATTTCTTTCTCTTTAATAACGTATGAGTCTTCAACTGAAACACTTTCTGGCTTCGTTACTTCATCTCTAGTAGCCATTTTTGGATCTTCAGCAGACTCGAGTTCTTGTTCATTATTACTGCCAATATCTAATTGTTCATCTATCTCAATACCTTTTTCTTTACTTCTATTAACTTCTTGTTCTTCAAATCTGACTTCTGATTCTTCCTCATTATGTATGCTAAATTCTAAGTCTTCTTTGCTTACTTGTGATTCTACAATTCTGGTGATTTTTGAGCCTTCATCTGTGACTTCTGGTTCTCCAAATGTGTAGACTTCTTGAGCTTTATCTTTACTGATCACTTGTTCTTTAACCGTGCCGACATTTGCCCTTGGTTCTTTGAATGTTCTGATTTCTACTTCTTCAATTTCTTCAATAATACTAATTGTTTGTCCAACTGCGGTGATTTTCGGTTCTTCAGCCTTGGTGATTACTGATTCAACGATTGTGTTCTTTTCTGAGTCTTCAATTTGGGTGTTTACTGATTCTACGATTGTGTTCTTTTCTGAGTCTTCAATTTGGGTGTTTACTGATTCTACGATTGTGTTCTTTTCTGAGTCTTCAATTTGGGTGTTTACTGATTCTACGATTGTGTTCTTTTCTGAGTCTTCAATTTGGGTGTTTACTGATTCTACGATTGTGTTCTTTTCTGAGTTTTCAATTTGGGTGTTTACTGATTCTTTGAGTGCGTTTATTCCAGCTTCTTTAACTGATCCCGTTTCTGTCTCTTCTCCAGTGATATCAGTACCTGTTCCTGTGTAGATTTTTTGGTCTTCAAATCTGCTATCTCTTTCTGCTTTCTCAGGTGCATTCATTTCTGGATCTCCTTCTTTGGAAATTTTTAATTCTCCGTATTTGCTGATTTCTCGATTTTCCAATATGTTTAATTCTGTTCCTCTGAATTTGCCCGTTTCTGTCTCAGCTATGTTTTCTTGGTCTTGCACGAAACTGCTTCCAGACACGGAGCTTTTTGATTCATCACTCGCTGTAATTTCTGATTCTTGGGTAAAGCTCGTCTTTGCTTCCTGAAACACGTTGCTTTCAGGATCTTCATCCATACTCTCTGGCTCTTCAGCCATACTACTTCCTGGTTCATCGGCTATACTTTCTGCTTCGTCAGCCACACTACTTTCTGCTTCTTCAGCCATGCTACTTTCTGGTTCTTCAGCCATGCTACTTTCTGGTTCTTCAGCCATGCTACTTTCTGGTTCTTCAGCCATGCTACTTTCTGGTTCTTCAGCCATACTACTTTCTGGTTCTTCAGCCATACTACTTTCTGGTTCGTCGGCCATGCTGCTCTCTGGTTCGTCGGCCATGCTGCTCTCTGGTTCGTCGGCCATGCTGCTTTCTGGTTCGTCGGCCATGCTGCTCTCTGGTTCGTCGGCATAGCTTTCTGATTCTTCGATAATGCTGTCATCTTGCCGTCCAATCAATGGGCTTCTTCTGAATTTTTCGTCCGAACTACTCTCATGGTCTTCAGTAAATGTGCTTCCCATCCTTTCTTCAGCTGAAGTGTAATCGGTGCTTCCTGAGCTTTCTGGTTCATCATCAATCCTGATGAACTGTATTCCTCCAATCCTGACAGTTTGGTGCTCTCTGAATGCAGTTGATCTGACTCTGCTGGGCTTTATGCTATCTAGTTCCTCGGACAAAATGCTCTCTGTCCTATCTTCGGCTGAAACGTAGCCTGTGCTCTCCGTACTTTCTGGTTCATCTTCGGCTTTGCTGCTGTCAGATGTGTATTCTTTCAATGTATTTGAGGCCACTCCACTTATGGTGCCGTCTTTCCTATTCTGAGTGGCGACGCTTTCCTTCATTTCGCTTTTATTTTGTGTTTCATTATTGTAAACTATGACCTCATCTTTACTCTCCTCTTTTAAAATGCTTTCAGTTTCACTTTTCTCAGTCTTGTCATCGGATTCAAGGTTTACTAGCGTCCATCCAGTTTCCTCTTCCGCTGCTGTGCTTTCCCCTTCTTGACCAGGGACCGACATGTCCGAATCCTCGTTCTTCTCCGCTCCAACTTCTTCCTCCTCCACGACACTGAAGGTCTGGGTCTCGAAGGACCTCCTCCTCTGAACCCACTCTAGGCCCCATTGCCCGTTGTTTTCTGCGATGTCCTCTGGTTCCTCACTCTCTTCCCTTTGCTCAATAACGATGTCAGTCCAGCCTTCGTGGATGATTACCTCTTCGCTAATCACCGAGTCTTCTACTTCGTCGTCTTCTTGTTCTTGTATGACTTCGGGTTTCTTGGCGTTCGCAGGGTAATCGTCTTCGATCTCTGTTAAGGCGTCTTCGTAATCCTCTGTTGTTTCACTTCCTCCTTCCTTCGAGAAAGTAACATGTTCCTCTTCTCTGACTTCGTGCTTATTTATCTCTTTCCTCCACGTCGCTATCTTTGCTGGCTCTTCCTCGTTTAATTCTCCTTCCTTATCCTCCGCGCTTGTGTGGTTCTTTTCCATCGACTCTGTCATATCTTTCTCAACTGCCTCGTTCGGATCTTCAGTTACTTCGTCGTTTTCCTTTTCCTCCTCGACTGTTGTATTTTCCAAAGATAAACATGATACTTCTATCTTATTTTCATAAATTGTTGCTATTGCATTCTCTTCCCTTGATTTCCTCGGTCATTATTTCCGCACTTCCGTCCACGGTGTCATTCCTCAAGTCTATTTCTTTTAGCCCAGTTTTTGGCAGTTGATTCGCCCCTTCTTCTTGTTCTCCTTCTCTTCCCTCCTCGTCTCCCTCGTCTCCCTTCTTTGTACTGGGCTCGATGAAAAGTTTGGTCTCGCTGCATTCAATCGCTCCGACTTTTTCTTCTTCTGCGTTTACGTCGTTCACACGGATCACCAATTCGCGTCTTCTCGCGCTGAAGATTTTCTCGACAACGTATCGCACTTCTTCCTGTTCGTCTGAACTTCCTACGCTCGTTTCTTTCTCCTCGTCTATCTCTTCCTCTCCCTCTTTGACCACGATATTGCTTTCCTCTTCAGGCTCTCCTTCCTCTTCCTGTCCTCCTGTTTGGATCATTTTCCCCATCAGTGTTTCTTCGTTATTCTGACTTTCATCTGATTTATTATCCTCTATTTTGACTATGTCAGGATTGTTTTCTGAGGATTTGCCCTCTTCCTCTTTCTCTATATCAGGGATTCTTTCGTGGGTCGCCTCGTCATATTCTTTATCCACTTTTTCCAACTCCTCCTTTTCATACAGTTTATTCTTCTCTTCGTCCAGATTTGCCACTTCCATATATTCTTCAACTACTTCATCCTCCTTATTCATTTCATTAGTTTTTCCTTTCTTCTGCTCTTCGTCTTCTTCCTCCTCCTTCTTTTCGTCTACTTTAGGCTCTGCTTCCTTCTGATCATCCAATCCTCTTTCTCCTTTTTCTTCTATCTCTCCATTTTTCACCAATATTTCATCATCAACTTCTTTCTCTTCCTTTTCGTTACTTGTTTCCTCTTCTGTTTTTGTTTCGAGTGGTTCCCTTTCTCCATTTTCAGTCGAAATTTCGCTAGTTTCTTCATTCCTCTTTCCTTCCTTATCATGATCGTAGCCCGATATATCTGCCTCCTTGTCCGCTGTTGTTTCCTTCGGGAATTCAATGACAGACTCGTAAAATTCATCCTCTGATACTCCTCTATATTGAGCATTTTCTTCTGGTTTATCGATTTGTTCTCTTTCTACATCTCCTGTTTCTTCCTCAGGTTTCTTTGCATTGTTTTCATCCAAATTGTCTCCTTCACTCTGGGTCGTTTCTTCTGATTCTTCGTAAATTTTCTCGCTACTATCACTGCTATCTTTTGTAGATTCACTTTCCATTATCTCTCTTTCCTTCTCCTTCTCTTCTTCATCCCCTTCTACAGCATCATCATTCGTTCTCTCTCCTTGTTCTTCTCCAGCTACTCCTTCCTCAGACTCGCTCTCTTTCTCTTCGTTCGTCATCTCTTTCGCACTGTCGCTGTCATCAATTTTCATCATTCCGCTTTCATATTCTGCGGATTCTTCACTTCCTCTGTTCGGCTTTCTCATCACACTCTCCCACTGGCTTTGCTTCTCTCCTCCGCTCGCTGTGTCTTCTCCTTTCGTTTTCTCGTCTTCGCCTTTTCCTGTGTTTCCCTCTTTCTTGCTGCGTTTCGATTTCTTTACTGCCTTTGTTCCGTTCTTCCACATTTTCCCCAGACTCTTTCGTCTCACACTGGCCG